CACAGCTCACAGAGAACGGGCGTATCAGGTAAGTACCAACGCCCTTTTTCTGCTTCCTAGCTAATCTAAATCTCCCCGCATAGCAGAACAGATAACTGTCGGAAAAAGGAAAAATAGCAATTTAGCAGGCAAGTTTGCCGGGTAAGGAGTGAGTGGGCGGGGAGGGTCCCCGTGAGCCATGTGGGCTGAGCAGCCTTGTGTTTCTGCGCAGCCTGGATTAATTCCTTTGGGGGGTGCTCTGGGGGTGAGATTTCTCTGCGGACCATCAAAATTTTCTCACGGCTGCAGCCCACCGGTTGGCAACCACTGATTTAAAAGACATAGAGACAATGGTTAATTAAAATTAAGAAAGGGGATTTTGCAAGGTGATGAGATGTAGAATAAATGTATTAGAAGTAATGAAATTATTTAGTAAGTAGGAAAATATAGATTACCAAAATAGAGGATTGGAATTGATATTTTTCTTTTTTTGTTACTGGAAGGCTGTTTTTTGTTAAACTATATACAGAAATAAATGGAGTAAATGTGAAAAAAGAGAAATTATGATAGGTTTATTAACTATGTTTAATGAATTTATAGAATATGGTTGAAATGAATTATGAGGATTATTGCAATAAGATTAGTATTAGTTATTATGGTGAATGGAATATATTAATTTCTCTTCTTGAAATTATAAATGCTTTTGATGTAATTGAATAGGAAAGTACAATGCAGAATCTGACAGAATAAAAATGAAAATACATTGTTTATTTAAAAGTCAGAGATAATGATTAATTAAGAATTAAAAAGGGGAATTCTTTAAGGTGACGAGGTGTAGAATAAATGTATTAGAAGTAACAAATTATTTAGAAAACAGGAAAATATAGATTATTAAAATGAAAGATTGGAACTGATATTTTTTATTATTGGAATATTTGCTTTTTGTTAAACTACACAGAGATAAATGGAATTAATATGAAAAAAGAGAAATGATAAGTTTATTAATTATGTTTAATGAATATTCAGAATATAGTTGAAATGAATTATGAGGATTGCTATAATGAGAATATCAGTTTTTAAGATGAATTGAATAGATTTTTTTTTTAATTATACATGTTTTTGATGTAATTGAAGGGGAAAGTACCATACGGAATCTAACTTAAAAGGTATATATGTTATGTAGTCGCTAGGATATTTTTGTTATTAATTTTTGATAATTAAAAAGTTAAATGATTATTGGGATTTAAAGGGGAACTAATTAAATGATATATAACGCACACTCCAAATTGGTAATTGTAAGGGAAACTTTTTTGAAATGTTTAAACCGAGATGGAATTTTTGAAATAATGAAATAAGAATATGCGATGAAATTGCAAACCTGACAGATAAAAGTATAAAGTATGACAAATATGAAGATATGAGAATTATTTAAAATTAAAAGAAATAGGTTAAGAAGTGAATTGAAAATTTATAAAATAAGCTTGAGGAAAGTATCTGAGAAAACTAATAGAAAATATGTAAAGTAATGATAAGATTTGAATTTAAATGTGAAAGATGAATATGTAATCAAAGTCAGGTTTGTATGGAAATGTGAAAACCTGGAATCATGCTGTTCACTAAAAAATATGTTTTTAAAATGTGGAAAACTGAAATAAAATGTTTACAAAAAACAAAGCAAAGCTTCTTTTGAATATTTAAAAGGAATCTATTTAAATAATTTTTTCTCATTATGTGTCAATTACATGTTTGTGGTTTTAATCAGTCTTTCAGGACTACGATTGCCATAAATATAAAATACAAAGAATATAACTGTACTTCTAACTTAGATTATATATCATTTTGTTGCTTAGTCTGGTAAACCACAGCCACCAGCACGTCCTCCTCCACCAGCAATTTCTACAGCACCTGTAGTCACTGCTCCTGGTTTAGCAACTACTGGGATATCACCTGCTCCCGTGGGTTCTGCAGCTAATGTAGCTTCTTCACAGGCCCAGGGACCACCTTATCCAACATATCCAGGATATCCTGGGTAAGTTTGCAAAGATGTGAACTAATTAGTATCATATTGTGATGGAATGTGTGAATGACCTTGGGAAACAAAGGGAAGAGAAGCTGCCTAGGAAACAATCAAACGAGAGGAGACCCCAATGGATTAATAGTCAGTGGAAGAAACTTTTGCCATAATTGATCAGGTGATTAAAAATGGCAATGGGAAATTTGTATCTTCAGACTTGCAAAATTCTGTTAATGTAGCCTTACAGTAAAGCAGAATTAGTTCAGCTGGTCCTATTTCCTATTTGTCTACTTGAGAGTGCTAGCATATTTAGTTAAGACACTTCTGAACTTAGTGCCACTAATATTGACCATAATAGATGTAAGGATTGTCTCTCCTCCTAACTTAAGAAAGTGAAGATTCTTGAAATGAAGTATTTCAAAAGGACTCTTTTATTAAGCAGAAGTGAAAGCAATACATTCAAAGCAACATCTGAATACCCTTAGGCAAGACAAGTAGAATTAAAAGCATTAGAAACCCCTCCCTTTAGCCAGATGTGGATTCAGCCAATCCACAGGTGTGAAGATATTATTGTACCGGCCACTCTGAGAAACAGATAAGCATACGTTCCCATGGCCATCTTCCTCTGGCTTTCAGAGTGAAACAAGCCACATGGCCCTCCCCCCACCACATTCCCCAAGAGGTGAGAATATCTCAGGGCGCTTAGACACCAGGATACAAGTTATAAAATACCAGTTGTCACAGGCAATAGTAATGAATCAAATTCAAGCCCCACCCCCCCTTCTCCCAATTGAATGGCAGTATTACTTTTAGGGATCTGAAAATAGATTTATGTATTAAATGGTTTTAGTAATAATAATAGTTATAATAATAGTTTGGAAGAAAGCCAGTTTGTGGCTCTTTAGTGTTAAAGCGCCACACTGTGAGTTCTATCAAAGGGACTCTTTTCCAGCTCACAACATCAGACTTGAGAAACAAGCCAGTTGATTAATTCCTGTGGCAACCAGTGGGTCAATGCTTAACTGATCCAAAAAATAAAAGTGGGACCTGGTCTTATGGGAAAATATAAGAGGAGAAAAAATGTTTTGAGGAAAATAAATAGAACCTATAGCACAATATGCTGATTGATAAGCATTTCTTAAAAAGTAGTCCTTGACTTAAAACAATTTGTTTAGTAACCATTCAAAGTTACAACAACACTGAAAAAAGTGACTTATCACTGATTTTCACATGACTTGCAGCATCCCCATGATCAAGATTCAGGTGCGTGGCAGCTGACTCATATTAATGATAGTTGCAATGTGCCAGGGTCACGTGATCATCTTGTGACCTTCTGAAAATAAAGTCAATGAGAAAAACAGATTGTTTGTGTTACTAATTTAGCAATTGTGACTGTGTTACTAACTTAGCAATTGCAATGATTCACTTAACAACTGTGGCAAGAAAGGTTGTAAAATGGGGCAAAACTCACTTAACTGCCTTGCTTAGCAATAGAAATTTTGGGCTCAATTGTGGTTATACGTTGAGGTCTACTATATTCGTTTTCGTATTTTCTGACAGATATTTTCTCTTGCCTGGTTTCTTAGCAATCCTTTGAAGTTATGACCGGATGTTCCCAAAGCTACTTATGCATCTGGTTTTGAAATTAAAGCCACTGTGCCACATTCACACGGATTCTACAGACTCACTACAGATGTTACAACAACTCCCCCCTCCTCCCTGGTTTATTTCCCCCTTTTCTCATCCTGCTGGATCTTAGGTCTGCTTTCCCCCTTTTCCCTTTGCTGGGTCTCCACAAGAATTGGGCCTGCTTCTCACCCTACCAGGTCCGATTCCTACTCCCACTCCTGTTACTGATTATGGACTAGAATGATACAGAAATTACATTAGGGAAGTAGAGTGGGTGATCTGTCCCTGGACTGTGTGGGTCTATCCCAAAAGTGGACACCATTTTCAGACTGTCTGCTTAATGGGGACCACTTCTTCAAAGGAACCATATGGCCCAGGTGTCAGCTTTGGAACGCTGACACCAGGAACACCAAGGAACAGAGCTGCCTGCCCTCCTTCCCTAATGAGAGCTTTGGAGATTTACCAAAAATGTGTGTGTTATTAGTGAGTGGAGATGGGGAAACTGCAGGACCCAACTGGAATGGAAAGAAGACCCAAGGCTTGTGGGGACTCAGGCGGGAGAGGGAGATCTTGTGGGGGGCTTAGGGCTTGGGGGCTTGAGTTTGCACTAGGCTTCTCAGGGCTTCTCTGTCTCCTGAGGTATCCTGTACTTCACGTAATGACCTGTGTGGCCACATAACCTATTAAGGAGAGCAGCGGTCAAGGTCATAAAGTGAGATGATCTTATGGTTCAGAAATTTGTGACATCAATTCACCAATTCAGTCTACTTGTTCAGCTTAGATGATTTTTTTCTATTTAAAAAAATTACATAAATGTTTATGTAAAATATGAATAACAGGCTAATAATATCTTTTTCCTCCTACGATGTATTTCTCTCTCACTATAAAGTGAGAATGATTCAGAATATAGAATGCAGATCTCATGTGATTGCATATTTGGCTTAGTAACTTACAAATGTCTTGTATAAGGGCTGACCTAAGCCAGAAATAAAGTAGTACAGGTTGTTCTCAATTACTCTTAGTGACTAGTTGAAGTTGCATCAAACCCCCAAAAGATACTTATGACCAAGTTCTAATGGCGTTCCCCCATCTCCTAGTCGTGACAATATTTTGGCTGTTCAGCAACTGTTCTGTATTTATGTCTGTTTGCAGTGACCTGTTGTAACTTAACTATGATTTATAACACTTTATGTTGTGACCAGTTTTTGGCAAAAAAATGGCCATAGTAAGCAATGGATTTGCTTAATAACTGCTGTAAACAAATTAGGTTGGCCATGTGATGATCTGCTTTACAACTATCACAACTGTAATTTGCAGGTTCCACTTGTAAGTTGAAGTTGAAGCCTATTTGTACTTGTAAAAATCCATACGAACATGTGTAAATTATATTTTGACCATTGCATATTGTTTTGATTAATATAAGATAGTTTCTTCTTTCATTGCTAAGTTTGGTAATAGAGGTTCATTTGCTAGTTCTTGCATAATTAGATACTTTCGTGTGTGATTGTTCAGTGTTTAATAGCTTTACGAAATTAAGATTATTTCTGCACACTCTTTAAGATTTTTGGGATAAGTCAAAGCATGAAAATTTCTTCATTCTAATAAAATACGCTTTTTTGTTTTGTTTTCACAGATATTGCCAGATGCCTTTGCCATTGGCCTATAATCCTTATATGTATGGCCAATACAATCTTCCATATACACCATCACCTGGGTACCAAAATCCTGGACAAGCTTCTTATCCAGGACCACAGCAACCTGGATACCCTTATCCACAACAGCCATATTATCCACAGCAATAACATTTCAGAAAAGAAACATTGCTTGTTATAACTAGGAGTAATTTGCAATAAGCATACTTATAATTCAGCTAATGTACCTCACTATATTGAAATGGTTGATAACGTCCTTTCCTATTAATACTCCAAAATACATATTTTCTCAATTGAATTCTGGTTATATCAGATTTGTTGAGAAAGTGGCAAGCTACTACAATATTAAATTAACAGAATTAGACTTTAGTGAAATTCAATTTATGTATTAATTTACCTATACCAAATGTTTCCCTTCTATAAATAAATATTATATAATTGATCTAAAACAAAATGGCACAAGCATTGGTCTGATATAAAATATAAGAGTAAATAGAATTTCTATATTATATTGGTTTGTATTTTGGGTTTGCTTTTAGTTACCAATAAGTTTTGTTTAAAGCATCGTAAATTGTAAGTGCAAAATAAACTGCATAAGATAGTTTGAAAATTATACGTAGATATTTTATATTTGGCTATAACTAATGTATGTTTTGGAAGCTAGAGCACCTTGTTTGGCACTGCTTTTAAAGCTAAAAATTTCTGCAAACCAATCATGGTTTCTTATATTAAGTTCCTGTAATATATAAACAATCTCAAAAATCAATATGTTATTCCAGAATAAGAGAAAATAAATCAGCATATTTTTATTGAATCATTCAAAACCTAGCTTGTAAGGTATTCATTGGAGATGTACACTTGACATTTTGTTATTTTACTTCTGGCCTATCTAATTTTATCTAATTGTGTTGTTTTTTGAAATGCTAAAATTTCAGTTGTCCCCTGCAACTTGCCTTTATCCTACCTCATTACATGTGCCTCTGTATATACAAAGATGATCCTGTGCAACCTACTTTTCTTGGGATGTCTAAAGAAAACTTAAGCTACAAATGTGGATGAATAAAAATAATTACATTTATTTGACCAATTTACTCTGTTTGCAAGGTTTTGAAAAGAACAAGAACCTCATGCTGCAATTAAATAAGATTCTACTAGAGTTGTTTGTCTTAAATCCATAACAAACATCCTGCATTTAAATGTAGTTCATGCCTACATGCCCAGCCGAGAAGTCTTGTGCAGCTCACCAGCATTTTTTAAAAAAGTAATAAATGCACTACTACTGCTGCCAAAAGATACTGTGGATTTCTCAAAATGTCACTGCTAATACTGCCAGCTCCAGTGCTGCTGCTACTCTGCAAAACAGTTGTTATGCATGCCTGGTATTCTTTTGCAGCCTGCAAGAATTTTTAATTTATTGACCCATTCATTCATTCAGTTTCTATAGCTGCCATATTGATCAAGTGAGTGGCTTAACAATTCTAAAACAGTTAAAACAATTAAAAACTATAGAATAGTAATCCAGAAAATAAATACAGTAGCCAAGATAATTAACAACTAGAAAGCCAGAAATGGGGCCATTAACACATGCCAGGCCTGGGTACATAGTTAAGTTTTTAGAGACTTGCAAAGGCCAACAGGGTGGAGGTCATACTAATTTCCAAGTGGAGAATGTTCCACAAAGCAAGAGCTACAGTAGATGAGGTCTGTCTTCTAGTTCCTGCCAATCAAATGTTTTTGGCTGGCAGTATCTGCAACACACCCAATCTGAATTGGAGGAGTTGGAAAAAGACAATCAGGTAACCCTAGTCCCAAGCCATATAGGGCTTTAAAGGGGACAACCATCCTTTGAACTATATCCGGAAAACACTATCAACTGGTGTAGCACATGTAGTTTTTAGATATGTCATATCTGGCACCATTTGCTACCACTGCAGCTGCTACAGTTTCCAAATGTTTTGTGTTCTCTTTCATTTTAATAAAAGCTAAAAGTAAGGGAGAAAGAAATAAACTTTTCTTTAATTACTTAAATTCTATTATAAACTAGCCTGATACCCGTGCTTTGCTATGAAACTATGTGGTTAGGCTTGGTTTTTGGGGAGGAAAATAAGGGGAAAAAATTCTGCCTCTGCCTTCCAGTATCCATCGGTATTTATCTGGCTAATGTCCTGTCAGTGTGTGAGAGTTGAGGGCTGTTTGGAAAGTGAAAGTTTGCTGTGTGAGCAAGGAGGAGACAGCAAGGAGCCTGGGTGTGGCTTAGCTCAACTGTTCTGTACTAAAGTTGCTTGATGCTGTGAAACAAACAAACTCTTCTCTGCTTGTGTTTTGCATTTGGAACAGATTTCTTTTCAGGTGGGAGCGGAAGTAGAATTCCTTAGCATCAGAGCATGTTAAATATATGAAATGCTAATGGTCTGGTCATTTTGAAAAATCCTTTCTTAGTGAGCACCTAGAAGCCAAGAGAAGCCATACCAAATTTCAGGTTTTACGGTTCTGGAGATTTTGTGATATAAAACAGTGAGAATAGGCTTCTGGATATTGTACAATAGCAAATAATAGCAGGTCCATATTACAGTTTTTTAAAAGTTTCCAGCAGAGGGCAGACTGAAACCATGTTATCAAGTTTTTTCACACAACTTTTCACACAACACATATTGTTGTTCTGCTGACATTACCAGGAAAGCTAATGATAAATAAAAATAAAATCAGATTGGTATAAATTATAAAATCTGAAATATTATGCAGGAACATATCAGAATTAATAAAGCCTGGTGACTCATAAGACTGTTTAAATGAAAGAGCTTCATTTTACACTGCACTATTTCAGGATTGCTAAAGAGCAGATTCCTATAATTGCACCCAAGACAGTTCCTTAGTTTCTCACCTTGTGTCTTACTTCAGTGACTGAAGAGCAGGCAAAAAAGACCACTAAAGGACAGAAATTCTTGAGCAAATTATTAGTAATATGTTTTGAAATTATAATTTCAGTTCTCAAAAGTTTGAGCAGGCAATCTTGGTTTTCTAAACTGTTTTAGTCAGTTGTAACTACATTGCAGAAGAATACAGATATCACATGATTTGTTATATATGGATAAAACCAGATTATACAAAATAAATATTTTCCTTTAATTACTTTTCATTCTTTGTTTCTATTGAAATGTGAAATTATTGGACTTCCGACAGTAACATGGTGTTGTGGTGGCATAGGGGAACAGTGCTTCATTCCCGGTGCCGAAATTCGTGCAATTGGTGGCCTCGAGACAAAGCCTGGTCCTGGGGGACCGACAATAAAGAGGGGAAACCTTTGGAAGCAACGTGGAGAGGTGCGATCTCCCCTGCATTAAGAAGGGACCCTCGAATCCGATGCAGAATAAGCCAGCCTTTATGAAGGACCCGGAGGCTTGATGTCCCATTTCAAAGAAGAAGGAAACAGAGTGAGAACAGTGTGATAGCAGCGGTGAGAGCAGAAGAGAATATTGAGTTCCGAACATTGGTTTTTGACAAAGATTGATCTGGAGGTTGCAGGGTCATATGATCACCTGTTGTGACCTTCTGAAAAGCAAAGTCAATGAGAAATCCAGATTCACTTAACCATTACTAATTTAACAACTATAGTTATTAACTCAAAAACTGGCAAGAAAACTCAAAACTCATTTAACATCAGTCTTGTTTAGCAACAGAAATGTTGGGATCAGTTGTGGTCATAAGTACTACCTGTATTAAGATCTAAAATTAAAATTAAGAGAGATAAATCTTATGATTCATGTAAATGTCTAAACTGAATATGTGTCAAAGTCTCAGTGTAAAGGCAAGTAATCAGTTTTCAGAGAGTGACTAGAAATTTATCAGAAAGAGGCTTCACTGAGCTAACTTTTCACCAGCTGGGCTGATGTCACTTCCTGTCCTTATAAGGACCAAAATGAATCTTATTACATGGTGAAGTATTTAACATTTCCAAAGACCCCATTTCTTCCACTACTGGTCATAGTATGAACCAAGACATTTTCAGAACTAAAGAACATGTTAACCATTCCCCCCCACCCCACTTACTTATTTCTTTTTCCTTCTGTGCTGTTTTTGTAATTTTAAGCAATTAATTATACTGAACTGTGTGTATATGTGTGTGTGTGTGTGTGTGTGTGTG